GGCGCCAGCGGCAACCAGACCCTGGGCAGGATGCCCCGGCAGCCCCTGGAGCTGCAAGTGGTCACCATCCTGCTGGTGCTGGTCATCTGCGGGGTGGGCATCGCGGGCAACGTGATGGTGGTGCTGGTGGTGCTGCGCACCAAGCACATGGTGACCCCCACCAACTGCTACCTGGTGAGCCTGGCGGTGGCCGACCTCATCGTGTTGCTGGCGGCTGGGCTGCCCAACATCTCGGAAGTGGTGGCTTCTTGGGTGTACGGCTATGCCGGCTGCCTCTGCATCACCTATTTGCAGTACTTGGGCATCAACATCTCCGCCTGGTCCATCACCGCCTTCACGGTGGAGCGTTACATCGCGATCTGCCACGCCATCAAAGCGCAGCTCCTGTGCACCGTGTCCCGCGCCAAGCGCATCATCTCCTCGCTCTGGCTCTTCACCTCCGTCTATTGCCTCATGTGGTTCTTCCTGGTGGACACGACCCAGGTCACCTTCTCGGATGGGGCACAGGTCAGCTGTGGCTACCGGGTCTCCAGAAGCCTTTACATGCCCATTTACTTCTTGGATTTTGCCGTCTTCTACATCATCCCGTTGGGCCTGGCAAGTGTCCTCTATGGTCTCATTGCCCGCATCCTCTTCATGAGCCCCCTGCCCGCCACCCCACAGGACTCCTGCTTGGGCTCCACGCACCAGGGCGGCTCCCTCAAGCTCTCCTGCCGGGGCAACAAAGGGGCCCTGAGCTCCCGCAAGCAGGTAGGAGCTCCCCGCCGGGCTGGGGCATGCTGGGCTGCAGGCAGCACTGTCAGAGGCTCAGTGCTTTGAGGGGCATTCTGGCAGTGGACGGGGTGCCCAAATATTTTGCTTCCCTTTGTGGGGGGAGTGGAGAAGCCCCCCCCCCCCCCCCCCCCCCTGCCACTCATAGTCAGAGGGGCTCCCCCTGCTTTGCCTGAGCTCAGTGGAGCAGGACAGGGCTCCAGCATCACTTGGGAGAGGCAGAAGCTCTTGCTGGATAGTTAATTACTGATTGCCTTCCCAAGGAGGGGAGGGCTGGGTCACATTAGGGCAGCTGGTCTCGCCTCCCTGGCAAGGTCCTGAGCAGGTGACCTCAGATTTGGAGGAGCAAAGGGAGGGGAGAGCTGGTGTGAAACCCTGCCCTCTGAGCCCAGCCCTGGCTACAGTCCTGTGGTCCCTGCAGCTGAGGAAGGCACCTCGGTGTCACAGTGGTGTGTTTGCGACTCAGGGATGACTCTGTCATTCAGCTACCTGCTTGGTCCCCATCTCCTCCTCCCACCTCCTGCCCTCATTCCCCTCTTTCTCTGTCCACATGGACAATTACTGTCTCTTACCCCATCTGCTTAGACAGGTCAGCATCTGGACATGGGACACCGTTTCCTGCCCACTGGCCGTTTGCAGGAGACCATCCCATTCCAATTTCAAACTCTGCATAGGCAGAGATGTGGGCTATTTTAAAGGAAAGGGCTGAATCTGTGAGACTGGCTTTGGTCTCTGAAATCACCAGTTCTGTTGTGATTTTAGGTGAGAAGGACCTGATTTCCAGACAGACTGAAAAAGTCCTTGTTTTTCCAACTCAGTATCTCGTTGCCTGACTTGAACAGGAACCTCCATTCCCCAGGGGAGTTCATTGAGTCACAGAGGAGAAGCAAACAGCCCAGAGAACGTGTATTTTTTCATGAACTTCTAAGTCTTTCCAGTTCAGCTTTTTCTCCCTTTTGCTCCAGCGCAGAAAGGTTTAAAGCAGGTTCTGACTTCTGCAAAAGTACTTGCTTGTTCTCCCAGGGTTGCTGGCTGCTGCAGGAGCTTCAGGCAGGGTGTTTGGCAGCGAGGTCTCTAGACACTACAAGGCAGTACCTAATGGTGTGGGTTGATTGACCTCTCCTTCCAGAGCAGCTGCTGCAGGGGCTGTGCCGCTCCCTCCGCCGTGGTGCTGTGCTGTGGAGTGGCTGTGCTGCACACAGCATGTTCCAGCATCATTAGGACGAGTGGCTGACAGGGATAGATGACGGGCGCTCCAGCTCCTGGAAACATCTTGTGCTCTCTTTTCTGTTACACTGGTGTTTTCTCAGATTGTCATTACCTCCCAAAACACTTTAGCGTGTGAAGACTTCCCCTGGCTGGCCCGACACCGCAGAGCTGGCATCATTAGGAATAAAGATGGCACTGAGTTTTTAAACTGTAAAGCAGTTTCCCAGGGATTCCAGCTATGGTTTATTGAACGCTTCCTTCTGATTTCACACCAGCAGCTCTTCAAAGCAAGCTGTGTGGAGAGCCATGGAGGAAGAAACCCCAGCTGTGCCACTGGTGGCATATGGGCTAGGTGGCTGAGACACCGGCTGGTGGCTGTCAAATGGATGCAGTGCTGCACCCCAGCGGTGGCTGCAACCCAGTATTTTCCATAAACATCTTTCACAATGTGGGTATGTCATAAGACATGATTGCTTCATTTTGTATGTAATCATAGGGAAGTTTATATGACTGTCCATAAAATCAGAGGGGGCAAAACCAGGATCTGGATGTTCGACTTTAACCGTTTTATTCATTGCTGAGGGGATGTGCTGGATTCTTGATGCAGAAATAAGATATCTGTGCACCAAAACCAAGTAAAACCACTCAGCTATTTTGGCAAGAGTTTTGGGCAGCATGAACAGGAGTGCTTGGAGCATAACTATTCCAGGTCGTGCCAGAGCACCCACCTGAGCACTGCCTGAAATCCAGCCAGAGGTTTTTGCTGGCAGTGCAATGGTTTGAGGAGCAGAAGCTGCAGGGAGTCATGATTCTGCACCTAGTTATGAGGGAAAAACCAACAACCCAACTAACCACAGAAGAAAGAGGCCTCCAGAGACCCTAAGGGGTCAGCACTGGATTCTGCCTTCGATTTGTCTCCCTGAGCAGGGGCAGCCAGGGCCACAGAAATGCTATTTTTAGTGAGACGCTGCAGCACGCAGAACCCCAGAGAGTCGGTGGGGGCAGAGCAGGGGGGAAGTGCAGGCTGAGTGCTGGGGAAGGGGCAGATCATTAAGAAAGGGATTCCAAGGTGAGAAAGAAGGTAGCTGAATCCATTCATGCCTGCAGAGCTGGCAGATGGAGATATTGGATAGAAGAAGAGGCTTAAAAGTGAGCTCAGAGGAGAGCATTCCCATTGCCAGTGGGGCACCACGGTGGGACATGTGGGTGATGGAGACAGAGGTGCATGTGTTCATGTGAAGGGGCAGAGTGTTCAGGGGGGGCTGTGGCCCCCACAGCACCCGGGTCCATGGACACCTCATCAGCTTGGCTTTAGCAAAGGTGGGAGAGAGGCACAGAAGGGACCTGAGTGGTCTTTTCCAGGCGAGATTCACCTCTAAAGAATTCAATGGCAAAAAGCCCCCATGCAATGGGCAGGTAGGAGCCCTAAAAGGGAGCAACGTGGACACTGGTGTCCTGTATTGTCTTCACCAGAAGAAAGGTTTCCTCTCTACTTCTCTGATAGCCATGACATGACTGCCCTCAAAGCCAGGGGAAACTTGTGGGAAGAAGAAAGACAGATGGATCTCAATATGGACCACCAGACACTGCTTTGCCATAGCTGATGCTGGCTGAGGAGCTCATAAACAGGTTTCCTTGCTCATTAATCACCCGTGGCCAGGCTGGAAAGGAAAGGGCAGCCTGGCGGGTAATGCCATCAACTTCTCATGCTCACCTGAGAAATGCTTACAGCTCTTGAAAAGGTCATGAGGCATTTACATGGGGGTCCTTGATAAAGGGTTTTGTCCTGAGAATTAGAAGTGAGGACACAGTGTCAGAAACTGCTCTAATAACAAATGCTGGTGGTCTCCAATCTGACAGGGTAATGAGGAGGCTGTGAAAGTGATGCATGTGCTACCAGTGGGGAAAATTGAAGTGAGGGTGCAGCTTCTTTAAAATGCAATTGCCATGTAGACTAAACCACTAAAAACACCGTTAGAAACCATGCTTGCAAGTTTGGTCCAAAACAGCAATAGTGTTGCTGCCTGAGCGGCTTCCACGCGTGCAGCGAGAGCTTCACAAGACCCTGCTGACAGCAGGTTGTGTCCCGATGATGAGGCAATGAGGGGCCCCAACCCTGCAAACACCTTTGAGCTTGCTGGGGTGATGGTGAACAAGCATCTGCCACATTCCCATCACAGACCAGTGGTATGAGAGGGTGCTTTGGCTCGCAGAGCATCTGTCAGCCAGGAGAGCAGAGTGGGGTGGGAGGGCAGGTGTTGGGTGTGTGTAGCTCACCCATGTCAGCGCTTCTCCTCTGGTCTCCCTTTACGGTCAGAGGGGAACCAGCTCTTCCAGGCTCCGTGCCCAGAGTTCCCTGGGAGATGCCCAAAAGGGGCTACCTCAGAAGTGTCCGGTTTTTTTCCCCTCAGCTCTAAAGCACCTGCATGGCTGGGGATGTTTTGCTGTGGAGATGCAGGGTTTGGAAACAAAATCCTCACTGTGTGCTCCTAAGCAGCCCCAGCTGCCCTGCTTGCTTTTCAGAGCATGAAGATGCTGCTGTTCTCTCACTAGTGCCTCCAAAACACTTATGTCCAGAGCAGGACAACACAAGGCATGAGGTGTTGCTGTATTTATCACCTATAGAAGCAAAGTACCACAGGTACAAACACCAGCCACCTCCAAGCACTTATTTCACCTGCCGGAGGGACCACTAGAGGGAGTGGGATTCCTAAAAAAAGAATGCTGCAGCTCAGGGTGGGGGTGCCTGGACAAGGAGGGGCGACACTGGCTGTGGAGAAGCGTCTGTGGCCTCGGGAGCAGGGGCAGAGGCTGGACACAGCGCTGCGAGTGGGGATGGGTTGGAAGGGCTGTGCAGGGATGCAAGATGCCAACCACTTCGTATGGAGCGAGAAGGATGCTCAGTCTGGGATTGCTCTGGGCGTCACATTGGGCTTGGACCACAGAGTGCCTGGTGGAAGATGAGCTGCCCTTCGGCTTTGGTATAGGGACCCTGGATGTAGTCAGGTAGTACAGCAGATATCCTTGGCCATCCAGAAGCCACGCTGGCTTATGTGCTCAAAAGTGGTTTTCAGCTAAACACCAACTGTTCTAGTAAAACATCCCCTTCTGCCTACAAACCCTTGTCTTGCTTCTATCCATAGCTCCTTTATAGTTGTTGGGTGCACACACTATGTACAACAGAGTTGTTGCAAAACATTTGTTGGAAAAATTATTGTCCTGGTGCTTCCCTGAGGGATGTTTTGAGGTTACAGCAAAACTCTGGCTTTTTTGGGGCCATAATTCAGGCCTATTCCAGTTAGGGATAAATGTCCCAAGCTCTCCTCAGTGCTGATTAGGCTCATTTTTCACATGAACACCAGAAGTAAGTTCAGAGCACCTCAAATGTCAGGTAGAGTGAGGAAAGGCACGGAGAAAGGTTTCAGCCGTGCATGCAGGTGACACTGGAAATTTTTTTCCCACGATGGAAATATGAGAGTGAGTTTGGGATAGACAGTTAGGTTTTATCCAGAGGAGACACCCTGTGTCAATACTTTAAAAGGCAGATTTCAGTCTTACAGCAAGCTCAGGGCAGCGCTGTCTATCCCAGCTTGTGGTCTGGATGCAGCGTCCTCGGGGATCACATTCAGTAAGACAGAGGTGATCAGTCCTCATGGTGCCCTTTCCAGCCAGTTTCCCCTCCCAGGACAAAGACAGCTTTTTCACAGGGCTGCAGGACATGTAGCAGGAAGCAATCTCTAGATGACAGCACTTTGCGGTCTTCTGTGGTCTGGGGGGAGGTGCTGGGATCTTGCTCAAGTGGGAGCTGGGCAAGTGCTCATTGGCACTGCTGGCATTTCCATAACAACCAGAAAAAAAGCAGGGGCAGTTATGGCTAAAAAAGCAGATGACTCACTGGTTCTTTTCCAGATGACATTTCTTTTTGTCTCAGAAAGTACCAGAATGAACTTACTTTTCAGCCTTATTAGGATGCACTTCCCCTGTCGATGTCTCTCGGATGCAGAGTTCAGATCACTGTTCACAACCATCGTGGGCTCCTGAACAGTAAAACAAGGCAAAGATTTACAACAGTCTAAAAGCCAAAGATGTTTCAGTCTCAGGAGACAGCACATGAGCAGTATTAAGGTGTTAGCTTTAAAGGAGACACTTTGGTCATACAGAAACCTCCCGGCTGGAGGGGACACCTGCCAGAAAGCAGAGCTAAGTGTATAGAAGCTGAGGGATTTATTCTCCTCAGCGCTGGGGGAAAACTTTGCATTTCAGGAACTGAGACAACTGCTGAGTGAGGAGTGTCCGTGTCTCAGTGAGGACCTACAGAGGTGTGGTATTTCACCTTCCCAGGCCACATTTTACAGCAATCCTGCTGCCTAAGACTGATGAAATCGACGGAAAGACTCCCACCAACCTTACCCCCAAGACTGCCCTTTAACATGGACCCTTCTAGGCAGGATGGCGACGTGTTCAGTCTCCGCATGGGATGGAAAAGCACAGACCCTGCCCTTGTCTCCCAGGAGGAATAAATGGCTTAGAAGAGTGGAATTAAATTCTGACTGAAATGGTACTTAGGATCACTTAACCTGAGGAGTTGGTTGTATTTTGCTGTAGGGCTTAGCCATTAGCACAGTTTTGTCCAGTTCACCTTCATTCAGGTTCTTGGGAAATAAACCTCAGATGCATCAAAAATATGGCAAAAGCAATTCTCTCTGCAAACCTGAGAAGCGGGTCTGTGGAAGGCAGCAGGCTGCCTGAATGTTCCATCGCTGCCATGTCTGTTTGCTATAAAAGTACTTAGAACAGTAGACACCACGGGTCCCATCCATACGCACTAGTCCTGTCACATACAGTGTTGAAGCAAAATCTGCTCCCTCCTGGGCTGATCTGGTATCTGGGAGCTCTCTGTTCCCAGGTCTTGCAGTGCAGACCACAGCGAAGCTGTCTCACCACTGCTGTCAGGACACTCCTTGCCTTGGCAAAGGGTGGCTGAGCATGGATTGCCCTGCTAGCCTTGGCGGAGGCAGCAGCTACAGCCATTCTGCTACGCAGAAATTTTGATTGTGGTCAACTGTGTGCCAAGCAGCTCCTGTCCACCCCCAGCCTATCTGTTCAGGAGTATTTCTATAAACCAGATTAGCACCCTAGCAGTCACAGACTAGACAGGGTGGCTTGAAAACAAAAGCTTGTGAGATCGCTCTCACTCTTCTGGATCCAGCCAGCCTGTGCAAAAGGCATTGAAAAGCTCTGAAGCTACCTTTTACTGACACAACTTGTACAATCTCTCATATCTTTCCTAAAAGGCAATAAACTGCAGCAGCAAACATGCCGCAGTCTTAGCAGCAGCCTCAGTGCTCACCATATCACTGCAAGATCTTATTCTGGAAGTGTCCTCACATCCCCATTAAACCATACCCAGCAAAACCTTTCTATTTTGGCCTCAGCTTGATAATAGTCCCTTTCTTGTAGGG